ATCATCAAGCCTCTGACTGAATGGACCGTAATCATCATATGGTCCACTCTGATCGTCCACATCCTCATCTGCATCCTCCTCCTCCTCCTCCTCATCACCATCATCATCTTCATCATCCTCAGAATAGTGCACCCGTTCTCTACGAGCCGAGGCCGAAATACCACGGGATCTAACGTGTCTGGGCCCCGAGCTCTCCATTGAGTTCATCGTACTTCTCATAATGTCCATACTCTTCCCAGCCCCAGAACGAAAATACGATGCCTAACACAAAATAACAAAACATGTAATATGCAATATAAACATGTAATATAAACATAAAAAAAGTAATTAAAATAAATAAATAAAACAATATACATATGATGGAAAATAAATTAAAAACATTACAAAATATTAACAACCTAAAAATAAAAAAATTAATAACCTAATAAATAAATAAATAAAAAATTGGAAAAAACAAAGCAAAAAAAAAAATTACCCAAAAAAAAACAAATTGGAAAAAACAAAGTGAAAAATATAAAATTATAAAAACTTAAAAAAAGAAGAACATCAAAATTTTAAAAAAAATTTATAACAAAAAAAAGGGAACATAAAATTTTTTTTAAGTAAAAAAACTAATTCAAAAAAAAAAAAAAACAAGAACAATAAACAAGAACATAAAATTAAAAATTAAAAAAAAAAAAGAGGAACATAAAATTTTTTTAAAAAAAACCAACAAAATTTAAAACAAAATAAAAAAAAAATCAGAAACATAAAATTTAAAATTAAAAAAAAGAAAAACAAATTTAAAAAAAAATCAAAAAAAAAATAATTATTTTCGAAAATTAAATTTCAAATTTAAAACCAAAAAAAAATTAAAAAAAAAATAAAAAGGCGGCGGCGCCTAGGCCAGACGCCGTGACGGTGGCGGCGGCGTCTAGCCCAGACGCCACTACCACGGCGGCGGCGCCTAGGCCAGACGCCGGTGCCGTGGTTCTGGCGCCTGGGCCAGACGCCACCGCCACCGTCACGGCGTCTGGCCTAGGCGCCGCCGCCGTGGTAGTGGCGTCTGGGCTAGACGCCGCCGCCGTGGTGGTGGCGTCTGGCCTAGGCGCCGCCACCGCCTCCGACCTTTTTTTTTTAATTTTTAAACACAAAATTAATAAAAAATACCTTCTCGCCGGAAAACCGCTGTCCACCCGCCGCCTGTGCCGCCACTTCCTTGCCGGGCCGCCTCGACATCGCTCGGAAAGTTTTTTAGAGAGAGAAAGTGGAAGTAGAGAATTGAGAGAAGAAATTGTGTTTTTTACTTTAAGGGCAAAAGTGACAATTCACTCTAATTTTGTGGGCTTTATGTGGAGATTCGCGGGCGATGTTTAGCAATTGAGCTAAATATGTAACTAATTAATGTTGTAGACTTATTACTATTGCTAGGATTAAACCGATATGATTATCATTGAATTGGCAATGAAAACATATTATGTATTGAATCGTAATGATAGATCATGAAAAGTTGTCAAAAAATATTTATAACTTGTTTGGGTTATAAAAAATGATTAGATAAATTTCTTGAATCGTAATGATATTTATAACATATTATCTAACGAATCGTAATGATATGATTATCATTGAACTGATTATCAAGTTCTTGAAGATGCAAATCAATTAACCCAAAAATATTTATAACTTGTTTGGATTATAAAAAATAATTAGAAGAAACAAAAGAGTGATTAAGAATAATCTTTGAAATTCAAAACCACAAATGTCTCCGGCATATGTATTATCGAAGCATTACAACGATAAGAATTCCCCATTCAAACTAAACCAATATAAGCAACACGAAAATAAACAAATAAATAGCTAAATAAATGCACAAGATACATTTGCATGACACAACAATTTACATAAACGACAGAAAAGTAGTACCTTTTCTCCCATGTTCATCAATGTGTCTTCAATAAATTTCTTTTTTTAGGTGGGCTTGGAACAACCTCAATGACTTATTTTCTACTCGTAGTTTATTGGAAGCTATTTTCTACTCGTGTGTATACTAACATATGATTAATATGCTATTTATTGTTAATGAATATGAATAATGAAGTGGTTAGTGTTTCGACAACTGGTAAGAGACTAAGAGTGAATGTAATATCTAAGTAACAATAAACCAAGCTCATGCATTAAAGAATATCCAACAGTTTAGCTAGTTAGTGTGATAGAAATCATAATTAATCTTGTAATTAATTAATTAGACCAATTAGAATGACATGACCGGAATAAAACCATATTACCAAAATTTTAGGCCCCTGAAAAAAAAATACTTCCTTCATCCCTAAATATAGTTCTCATTTATTTTCACGGTCTCCTAGACGTGTTTTAAAACGTCTATCTCTATTTTCATACGTGTAAAAATTATAAAAATTTAATATTAATAAAATATACAATGTGACGAATCCAACAACATCCCACTTGAATATATAATCTTTTATAAATTAGCGAGAATTTATGGTCAAAGTTTTTGAAATTTGACCCAAATAAATCAAATGAGAACTATATTTAGTTTGCAAGTATTTCAAAAGGCCAACCACAACTATAATTCCTTTTAGCAACGGCAACTAGTGTTAGTTGAAGTTGATGAGCAAAACAATGTATGTAGTAGGCTCTTGGAGTATCATTTATAATCAAAGTCTTAAGGCCATTTATTTCACCCTTCATATTACTAGTCCCATCATACCCTTGTCCTCTTCTCATAGATGGACTCAATGAATGTTCCACAAGTAAAGACATAATGCATCTTTAAGAGATAAAGCGGTAGTATCACCAACATGCACAATGCCTAAAAATCTCTCCAATACCTTTCCACTATCTCTATCAACAAAGTGCAAAACAAGAGCTAATTGCTCTTTTTGGGACACATCACTTGATTCATCGGCCAATATGGCAAAGTAATCATCACCAAGTTCTTCAATTATGCACCTTGTTGTATCTTTTGCATAACAATTATAATGTCTTTTTGAATCGGAGGAGAAGTCTTTTGACAATTTTCGGGTGCATTTTCAAGAGTATGTTCACTTGCTTCCTTAACTTTTTCTCCTAGTCAAATCAAAAGCTCAAGGAAATTACCCTTATTATGAGACTCATCACTTTTATCATGCCCAGGAAATGCTAAGTCTTGCCCCAAAAGAAACCTCAAGCTAGTTAAAGATGCATTCAAACAACTACTTGCTTTTCCAAATACATTCACAATTGATTTATTTTTCCAATTTTTTAAATTCACATACTTCTCATAGACAAGACTATGAGCACTATTAATCCCACCAACATGCCTCTCAACTCGTTAGGGTTTATTCCATTTCCTAAACCCTCCATCAACAAATGCATCACCCACCATGTTACTTTCAACTTCACCCTTGAACAATAACATACAAAACAAAATGCGGTATCTTTCTCAATACTATATTCAAGCCAATCCCACTTGTTAAACCAACTCACACTAAAACGGCGCAAACCGGATGCTTGTCTTTGAGGGAAATTATGAGTTTTTGGTTGGCAAGGTTAGTTTTTGAGAATATAAGCTCTTCTCATCGCATTTCTTTGGTTTGAGGATAATCCATTATGTTCATCCTTTTCCCGGGATCATGAAGAAGAAGTTCAACATCATATACCAACTCTCCTTCATTAGATGGTACATTATTAGAACTTGAACCACCTATTTCTCTCTTGTGTTTGGGGGGGAGCTAAATGAAGGAGGTTAATTAATTCCCTTGGGATCTCATTCTTTTAAACATGAATTGTCGAAGAACGGGTTGTTTTGTTGTCTTGGACTTTTTTGAATTAAGTGAATTATTCGACATATTCTAATTAGATTGAAAAATATGAATCAATAATAATTCAATTACAAAATCATACATACAAAACTATTAAACAATTTAACACACTTGGCAAACTAACAACCCTAACATTGGGATTTAAATAATCAACAATAAATAATTGTGCTTATACAATTAAGTTATTATAACAATTAAAAAATTCAGATTTAAACAGTCAAAAATTGGTATTCAAATAACTATCAATTATAAAATTGGAATTTAAACAATTAAAAAATTAGAAACTAGGGTTTAGAGGAATAATTAGAAATTAGGCTTACTTAGCTTGTTTAATGTAAATTGGGGTTACTTAACTGGCGTTTGAATAAGTAACCCTGCCACACGGTGTTGTTAGCCACATATGAAACTTTGTTGTTTTTATAAACAACACAATATTCAAAGAAAATATTTACTTAAATTAAATGCCATTTGACATATGAGAAACGCTTATCATTGTTAGAAACCAAGACTTTATAATTGTTAGAAACCGAGGCTCCCTCCAAAACAGGTGTATAGGTAAAACAATTTTGAAAATTTGCTATGGGAGGTACTAAATGCAGGATAACTTGGTTTTTAATAAATTTTATATTTTCAATTTTACCCTTGTTTAAATCTACCATCTTTCCACCTCATACCTATTTAATCATCCCTAAGGTTTTACTTGTAAACCTATCTCAAAGTCTTCCACCATTCTGTTCGAACTTTGTATGTAAGGTTTGATGGACAATGATGAACGTAATTTTGACGATTTTTTAAGATACTTATTTTAATATGACTATTGGACAAATTAACTTATGTAAAATATTTTTATAGACCTTTATTTTCGAGACCCTGATTTAATTTTTGTAAAAAAAATAAAATTTGATACCTTAATCTTACTACCGGTTATGATTTCTGAGACCTTCAGTTTACTACCGGCTATGATTTTTCAGCCCTTCAGTTTACTATCAGATTGAATTTCTGGAGCCCTTCACTACCTACTGGTTATAATTTTCGGGGTCCTTCACTACCTATCAGTTATAATTTCCCGGGCCCTTTATTTTTTACTGATTGAATTTCAACTTCATTGTATTGCATGACAATAAATCAAATTCATGTTCAAAACTTCCAAGCTTAAAAATCCAAAGCACGAGGAAGATACACATAGTTTTTGGGATTAAATACACTAAGAGAGATTGGATAATAGGAGATGAAAAAGAGATTTTAAATGAGGAATGGAATTAAGTTGGGTTATAAAAAGGTTTCAAAAAAAAAAAAAAGTCTAGACATTAATTTGTTTGCCATTTTGATATCTCTCACTCTTGTCTTTAGCTGCTCCCCACCACATTTTCTCCGGCGACATTGACAAACCCTCTTGCTCATCTTCGCCCTCTTTTCTCCAATCTTGTTACTCAAATAGTCAAATTGCACAATTTTTCTCATTTTTATCAATCCTCAGGTATTTCAATGCACCCATTTTCATCTTTTTTCCATTTATTTACTTCTAATTTTTCCCCTAATTTCATTATATGTGTAATTGATGTTATTCCTCTAAATTCATTGCAATTAGATGTTTCGTTTTTCTGGGCAATTCTTCCTGTAAACCCTAATTCTCATTTATCTTATGTACCCTATATTTTTTCTGGGTGTTTGTACAGGATTTTTCTCAATTTGATGCTAATTTCCGCCTTTCTACTTTGATTTCTTGTGTATCTGAAAATTTTCAATCATTTGGGTAATATTAATCTGCCTTTGTGTTGGTTTTCTTCTTTCAGTATAATGACAACCATTCGTAAATTCTGTTGCAATGATCTTCTTCGCTTTGCTTCCGTAAATTTGGATCATCTTACTGAAACTGTAAGTAAATTCTTTGCTTTCTGCAGTTACATTTTCAATTTTATTTTGGGCTTATTTAGCACACCTAATTCTTTGTCTCTGAGACACTGACAAATGATATTCGTTTATGTGGCAAATTCGCTTCTTTGAGCAGTTCAACATGTCATTTTACATGACCTACTTGGCAAGATGGCCGGATTATTTCCATGTTGCTGAAGGCCCTGGCAAACGAATTATGGGTTACAGTATGTTTCACTTCTATTCCTCTCCTATAAGATGCATTGGTTTGTACTTCTTGAAGTACATGATTGCTTTTTCCTGTGTACTTTGAGTATCGATTGCTTTTTCCTGTGTACTTTGAGTATCGTTTGGAATACTCGTGACCATTTTTTATTACAAACTTTCTTGGTCATTGATCGCTTTTTTATGGAAATCACAATCAATTTCAGGTTGGTTTTCCTTGGATCCTCTTAGAATGCTTCTTGAAAAAGAGAGGAAAAAAAATCGAGTACTTGTAATTCTTGCATATGTGTTCTCTTCTATGGTTATAAAATTTCTCTCCTTCCTTCTTGGATTTTGAGTATGAACATGGCAAAGTAATTGATTAGTAAAGGCCTTATATGGAAATTATTTGTCGGCTGGTTCACTAGTTAGTAGTTTGTAGTATTAGTTGTTTTTTTCAAGATATTTGGAAAAATTAGATGCCTATAAGATATTTGGGAAAATTAGTTGTTCTCATTGTTAATTATGTGAATGTGACCACTTTGTTCAATTTTTGAGTGGAAGGAGACCAGAAAATCTACTATACTAAGTATGAATGAAAGGATGTATAATAATTGCTTCTTTTTAATATAATAGTCATGGATGTCTAAATAAGCTGTTATATTTCCTGAAATGTAAATTGATCTGGCTTGGATTCTATACAAATGCCCACCTGATGAGTAATGAAGAAAGGGAAGAAGAAACACCACACAACTATTACTATAATGGAAAGTTTTGGAAACAATTTTGTCAAAACATGTGAAAATCTGAATAGTGATCTGGTACAATGTGACAATTACTTCAAGATGGAGTGAAGAGTCAGTGTAGTTAGGTTGTTTTCTCTTTAATCTCGTGCATTTCATCATTTTGGGGCTCTGCGTAGCACGAGGAGTGACATGTGGTGGGTGCCAGCACTATGATTGACTTAAAATAATTGCATGTAGCTAATATATGTCTGGTCTTGTTTTATTAATGTGCCAAAGTCCATCCTGATAATGTAGTCTTTCGACATGTCATCTTGAAATGAAAAAGTTGCGTCATCCATACTCTAGAAAGAATTTCTATGATGCTTTTAACATTTCACTGGTTAAATTATTCCTGATACTATTAGCTGTAAGATGTTGGTGAATATACTAATGTGAACTTGCTATATACTTGTGCTGCTTGCCTCCCTGGATGGTTTGGCATCTGTTGTTAATTGTTTGTAAGTGAATAATTATACATTATTCAAGAAGTTATGGTGTAACGATTTTTTTTTATTTTATTATTATTATTGTAAGTTTCTTTTGTCTATTTGTTGTAGTTATGGGAAAAGTTGAAGGCCAGGGTGAGTCTTGGCATGGTCATGTTACAGCAGTGAGTGTTGCACCAGAGTATCGCCGACAACAGTTAGCTAAGAAGTTGATGAATTTACTGGAAGACATCAGTGACAAAATGTAAGTATCTTGCTGTTGAATAGACTATCTAAGTATTTACTTTTGGAAAGCCATCAAAATCCTGCATGGAGGCGTTAATACCATAAGGGAATGTTCTTTTCTCAAGCCACTCTTTACATGGAATGTGCTCTATGGATAATGGATTAATTATAGTTTGTGCTTTAGTCCTCTGTAGTACTTTTTGTATAACTTTCTTTTTAATATTTTATGTCTTGTTGGAAGTATCCCTAATACCAAGAGACCATTTGGATGAATTCATGTGAGTTCAGCGTTTCTAAAATATATATTCTGCTTTCTATGCAATGGCCATATATTTGGCCATGTGGTGAGTAAAACCAAATGAAAGATGCCATCCATAATATTGAACATCTGATGGAGTGGTGGATGGGATACATGGAATTTTAGTCTTCATATACATGAGTTGATGAACCATGTTTTAATCTTAGTGTTATTGTCTCATTGGCATATAATTTACACGTTGTTTGGATGGGGGGAAATGAAGAGAAAGGAAGGGAAGAGAAAGGGAGGGGGACAAATCACCTTGTTTGGATAATGGATTGAGCGAAGGAAGGGGAGGGAAAGGGAGGGTTTTATTTTTCCTCCTCTTTTAATAAACACTATACCTCCAAAATTGGAGAGATTTGGAGGGAAAATGAAGCTCCACATTCCCCCTCCCTTTCTTTCCCCTTCCCTTCCTCCTATTTCCTTTCCCTTCTAAATTGTTATCCAAACATGCTGTTAATAATTTTTTGTTTATGCACCTTGATTCTTGAAGTATGCTGAAACAATCTTTTGGTGCATATTTTCTCGTTATTTCTTCTTAATGGAAGGGTGTTTCAAACATAAGAGGCTAAGAGCACAATCTTGTAATAAACCTTCAAAAATGTGCAAGCAAAAGCTAATGAAATTTGATTTGAGAATATAATACAGTACACAGTTAAGCAAATGAGCCCATATTTATAATCATGAATTGCAAATAAGCTGAGCTAACTCAATCATTGGGCTGTTAGAGTTTGCTTTTTTTAAGCATTGTGGCTTTTTGCTAAACTGAGTTTTCCTCATTTGAGCATAAAGCACATCTTGTTCTAATGAACCATAATTTGTTTGAAGCTTAAGCATATCAAGCAACTCATAGACTTAGTTTGCCTCTATGGTTTTGTTATAGTTTGGGGGCATTTGTGTGTTTTGTTTCGTGGTGTTGTTAGTTTTATTTTGTTAATTTCATTTTCAAGAAGATGTATAGAACTGTTAAAACTAGTCAGATATTGCTCAGATTTTTCCCTATTGACAAGATATGTTTCGCTTTTCAGTGATAAAGCTTACTTTGTTGACCTTTTTGTTCGGGCATCAAATGTACCAGCCATAAAGATGTATGAAAAAGTAAGTATCCTTGACTTAATTATGTACTTATTTGTTTAGTTTTGGTTTCTCTTTCAAAATTGAAATGCTTTACATGGAGCATTTTCATGCATCTCTCTGTTGTACTAGTCATAAATTAGCTCTACTGGCCCCCTTTCTACAGCTTATAATCACATTTGCATTGATGTGATGCCTCAACCTACTCCATCATATGGTTGCTTCTTGTGTTGTTTAATGTTTTTATAAAGGGCATGTGGCCAGGATATATCCTTAGTTATGAAAAAAGGAACATCATTTCTATAATAGACGTATACTTCAAAGGAGGTTGATTGAGTGTCTACCAACCTATCAATTTATAACCTTTTTTTTTTTTATTATTTATTATTTTTTTCTATTTTTTTTGTTTCAATAACTAAAGCTTAGGAAGAGAAAGGGTCAGTCTCGTCGAACTCATGTGAGGCAGTGAATTAACCACCAAACGTTATTGTTTGAATAAGCTAAAGCTTAATTGTTGAAGAGTTTTTGATACTAAGTTATCGGTGTTAACTAAGACTAAAAAGGGTAAACTCAACGATAGATAGGCCTAAGGCAAGGGCTACATCGCTCAACTTGATCATGAAATTGCAAACAAACATGGGGATAATAGGCATCAAAGTTGAAGAGATATCATAAATCATGATCTACACCATATTTTCATGTGACAAGTCATAATTCCAAGTGACAAAACAACATGCTTGATCCCTGGTCTAGATTTTCCAATTTTTTTGGTCTACCAGTCAAATAAGTATAAGGGGCCTATAACTAAACATCATTAGCTGATCCTTGGTTGGGGAGACATTTTTTTAATCCATGGATATAGAAAATAATGACTAAAACTGAGTTCCTATAGCTGTGATGCTCGGACTCAGCCCACCACCCCTCCGTACCGGTGCTGAGACGACACGACCTGGATGGACACGATATCCGGGTTGGACCCTCAGAAGAGATAGTGGGCTCGTCACTTATGAACCCTAGATCTAAAATATAGGGTTGGATTTACCAAAACTAGAGCTGATTTGATATTCGCTGGTCATTTATTCAGTTTTAGATTATGAGTTAATAGAGAAGATCTGAATGCTCATCTGTGGAAACATGGGTATGCAATAGTTTTCTGTTGTGGTAACTGATGAGCGTGTGAGTCAAAGCATTTTTGAAGAGGTGCAATAGGCATGCTGTAGGTGTACTGGCTGTGCACCTTATGCCTAGGCTGTAATCCCCTATTGCCTCAGTGGGCCTTGAGCTTTTAAAACATTATTCACAAGCTTTTGGTGCACTCTATAAGATGGTTTCTTAGAACTATGACTAAATTACCTATGGTGGTGGCTTGCTTTTTTGCATTGTGATGGTGAGACGGATTTGAGAATTCTATGCAAACTTAAGCAACCTGAACAAGACTATTAAGCATTTTTTAACGGTAAATTAAACTTGATTAGAGCACAAGAAACTCAACACAGCCAATCAATTTAGGTTTACCTCCATGCTTTAGAATGGTTAGAATACTTTTGACCTGCAGAATGAGTATATTGAGTCCTTGGTTATATAGATTCAAATTCTTTCAACTTTCTTTCTGTGTAAAGAAATATTGAAATGTATGGGAGAGAATAGGAGGAATAATAATAGATTTATGCTATGAAAACTTCAACCTAGCTTGAATTTTTGGGTAGAGAAAAGGAATGATAGGTGTAAAGCCCACCAGTGACTCAGAAAGTAAACAAAATCGAATTTACTCTAGACCACATTCCTTGTATATAACAGTCCACTTCAATTTTCCCTCTATTTCCGTTCGTTTTAAATTGTTCATTGTTGAATAGAAAAATCCTTGCTCCCTTTATTATTCTTCACAAAGGTTTTGTGGACTATCAGATGCTAAGAGTCACACTGCTGAGCTGATGCTTGGAATGGAAATAGATGTTAGACCAAGAAGCATGAAATCATAGAGGTTTTGTGGGAACTCATGTAATGATGTGAACATTTTATGCATATGAGGCTAGATAAGGAGAACAGTGGTGCTCTCATGGTTTTAAAACCTCATCCATGTTGGGGAGGATTTAATCCTTTTGTCCCTTTACACAAATTACTCCATATTAAACGAAAGAAAATTATGCCAACAAAAAGGTTAAGTGCATCAGAAATGCTAATGGAAATATGAGATGGAGATTAGAAAACTGGATAAGTAGAATATTGACGATAATAACCATTTCCCACCCTTTTTATTTTTTCAAGTTTTGAAATGAAAAGCAAATGTGTATTTTGTATAAATGGTTGCATATAATTATGCTCAATAATATACTGTTTTTCCATGTGTATCAGCTTGGATATGTGGTGTATAGACGAGTTTTACGCTATTATTCTGGTGAAGAAGATGGATTAGGTAATTTCCTTTACTGTTTACTTGTGAATCTCTAATACACAGTAACTTTTTTCAAGTTCACTAATGAAAGAGCATTTGCTTAAATTTGTTAAGCTTTTGCAACATTATCTAACACTTATTTTTCTTGGTAATTTATTTCCAGATATGAGGAAAGCATTATCGAGGGATGTTGACAAAAAATCCGTTATTCCTCTTAAAAGACCAATAACACCTGATGAGTTAGAGTATGACTAGTGTTTCTTGTCTTTTCAAATGAAATTGTTGTTTGGTTCGAGATTTTTGTTTACATCTTGGGATTTATATTAGAGGCATGTGATTGATGTGAAATCACGTGCTGAAAGGATATGAAATTTCAATTTGGATATAAATGTGAATTTTTTTTTTCTTCTAATGTTTCATTGGCTAACTGTATGTCCTTTGTATCCAATTCGGACTAATGTTACTGGTGGAGTGGCACAAATTCTCTAAAAAGGCAGGTGTACGTAATTTATTGTAATACGGGTTAAAGTTACTTTAAAAGTATTTAAAATTATCCTTTATACTAATAAAGGTGTTATTTTTCTAATAATAAATTTTATCTTACAAAAAACTTATAACGTATTAGATTAATCATATTAGCCTTTATAGTATGTAATCATGAATTTATAAGAAATTACATATTAAAATAAAATTTAAACCAATGACAAATTGAAAGTTATCCTTCAAGGGATTAAAGTTATTATAAAATAGTTAAATTTATTCTCAAATTGACGTCTTACAATAAAATTAATGTACATCCGTCTTACACAAGAGTTATTGGTGGAGTGGTATGCTGGCAAACAAATTGAAACCTTATCTGAATAAAATCTCTATTATCTAGAGTGCTTTTTATTCCTAAAAGACTTATCAAGCATAATGTCTTAATTGTTTTTGAGCTTTTCCATGCTATGAAGAGGGAGGGTGAGGATAATGATGGTACGATAGCTCTGAAACTGGATATGAGTAAAGCCTACGACAGAGTTGAATGGTCGTTTCTAGAAAGGATAATGTACAAAATGAGTTTTTGTGATAGTTGGGTTCGAAGGATTCTAGATTGTTTGTCAAGTATGTCCTTTGCTTTTAAGATAAATGGAATGATTTCGGGTTCTATTGCTGCCTCCAACTAGGGGCTTGAGACAAGGGGATCCAATGTCTTCTAATCTATTCTTTAATTGTTGTGGATGCTTTCTCGACACTTCCTTGTAAAGCTGCTAGGCAAAGTTTGATTCATGGGGCAAAAATTAGCATCTCATCTAATCTTTTGCGATGATAGCAAATGTTTGCTAGAGCTAATTTTATTTGCTAGAGCTACTGTTAGAGAGTGCTCGGTGATAGCTAATACGATTAGTAAGTATGAAAAAACATTTGGACAAAGTGTCGATATAACTATAACAGATGTGTGTTTAGCAAATGTTTGAATGCAAATCAACGAAAAGAAATTGTTAGTATTTTAGGGGTGAAAGAAGTTGAAAGACATGAGAAATATTTGGGCTTACCCACTAACATTGGTACGGTCAGTCAAAGAAGGTAATTTTTGTTAGCTTAAAAGAGATGATATGGTGGAAAATTTAGGAATGGAAAGAAAAGTTATTGTCTCACCCGGAAAGGAGAATTTAATTAAAGCCATGACTTTAACGATCCCGATGTACATGATGAGTATTTTTAAAGTGTCGGAAACGATTTTGGTGGGGTCGAATGGGACTAAAACTAAATTGGCATAGTTGGTCCTCTTTGTGTAAACCTAAGTCAATGAGAGGTATGGGTTTTGGGACTTTAAAGTCTTCAATCAAGCATTACTTGCAAAGCAATTATGGCGGCTTCGTAATAACCCAAATCCCCTTCTTTATGCTATGCTTAGAGCTTGATACTTTAAGCATGTCACCATTTTGGAGGCAAATAGAGGGTATGACCCGAGATACTCATTGGGGGTCGATTTCAGGGGAGGGGGGAGGTTTTGAGGGTTGGTTTAGGGGTAGGGGCTTTTTACGGGGATATGGAGGGGGGGTTTTCGACTGATGGGGGAGAGCTGATCGGGGGTTTTCGGGGATTGGGGAAGGGTGGGGGTTGGTTTCGGCAGGGGAAGGGGAGGGGTGAAGGTGTTTTTAGAGGGGGGAAGAGGAGGGGGTGGGGGGCTGGGTTGGTTTCATTTTTTTTTTTATTCTTTTTTAAAAAAACTTTTTGACTTATGAAATTGCGACACGTGACATTTAAGGAAAAAAAAAAAAACTAAAGTAAGCTTTTAATCAGGTCATCGGTCATTTGGCTTGTTTAAAGAAAACACCTTCAAAGTTGGGATTATTAAAAAATAATCGAAAGTTGAAATTATTTATAAATATAGTAAATTGCCAAAGTTAGGATTAATAAAAGCAATTTTTCCTTTAATTTATCAATTCGTAAAAATAACCTGCACAATCATGTATGTTCATTTGTACTATAATTTCAAAGTCAAAGGGTAAAACTAGACCTGTCAATTCAGGTATTCAAGTCGGGTTTGGGTCAGGTCAAATTAGGACTCGAGTCAAATTAGGTATCAAGTTATGTTGGGTCAATCTAGCCTCCAGATCAGGTTCGGGTCGGGTCAATCTTAGTTCAGGTTATTTCGGGTCATTCACCCTTTCGGGTGTAGGTCAGGTTCGATTCGAGTCAATTTCAGGGTGGGTTTGATTTCAGGTTCAGGTTTTGTCGAGCCGATTTTGGGCGAGTTAATAGCTGGTAAATTCGGGTTCGGGTTAGGATTGGGTCAAATAATTATCAGGTCTAATCTTTAAATTGGATCATTCTTGGATTTGTGTCAAGTTCAAGTCAGATCAATAACGGTGTGGTTAATTTAACCTATATAATTACGTCTTCCTTAATTCGATCAAGCATCGGAAAGATTTAATTAACCCTATAAATAGAGAATAAGAGGTATATAATTTGAACAAATTGTACCAATATGTTTTTAAGCCAACATATTGGTATATGTGAATGAATTGTACAATTTTACGATTTTATCATTGTAAATAAAAAAACTCAAGATTTATTTGGTTTAATTTGTTTTGGGTTATTTGGGTAAAAGCAGGTCGCGTTGATATCTAGTTTCACGTTAGTCCGGTCAATGGCATGTTGGGTTAACAATGATAAATTGATGAGTCAAATAAAGCCTAGTTACGAATCACCACAAGTCGGTTCAATAATAACAGGTTGTGTCGGGTTCTAATCATTTTCGAGCTCTAATTGGGTTGGGTACTAGTTCGGGTTCGGATCGTTGTCGGGTTGAGTTAAATCAGTTGTCAATTACTATCAGGTCTGGTGCAGTTCCAGGACATAAAGTATTGGATCAAATCGGTTCAGGTTGTGTCGGGTTCGGTTCGGATTACAGGTCACTAGTTTCACCCCATTTGTTCGAGTACATATTGGGTTCAGATTATTGCCGATTTAGGTCAGGTCCAGTTTTTGACAGCTTTAGGTAGGAGTTAAAAAATAAAAAATGTTTACTCCATAAACCATAGCGTAGAATCTAATTTTCCACCGTCTCCACGGATAAATTACCCCCATGGCGGTGAAAAAGACGATGATCATTGATCAATCTGCTTTCAAGTTTCAACAGCTCTACCCGAAATTCCTGGACTATGCTCGAATTCGAACAAATTGTTGAACATCAACGTCTCAAATGGACCCCATTTCTTTTAGCTACGCCTGTAAATTTGTCAATTTTTAGGTAAAAATTGTAACCTTTTTCATTGTTCTTATTACTTTGTCTGCTTTTATTGTTCTTTGTTCTTTCTTCTTTGTTCTATTAATTGCATAAGAATTTGTCTTGAAATTCGTATTATAGTTGATTGGATTGATCTTTTAATTAGTGGGTATTAACTGTAACTCTGAATTATTGATTAATTAGTTTATAATTTGAGCAATTTAGTGGGCCATTAATAAATTGTTTATGCTCACTGACATCGTCTGTTGTTGGATTTCTCTTTCAAGTTCTTTAATCCCTTTTATTTACTGGCGTGGGAAGGAACCCAATTTTTAAAAACCCCTTGTTATTTAATTAATGTAAGCAATTAACTGTGAGGTGCATGTGTAGTGTTACTTGATTCGATGGTACGCTTTGGTACACGGAACCGATATCGAACGTGATTTGCTATCTAGTTGTGTAAATTCGTTCGGAAGTGTAATATTGAACTATTGTTTGTGGGATGACTAGTGAACTAAGTAGCTAATTGGGAATAATTAATTCTTAATAATGCAGAATTGAGGTAATCTTCTCATGCTAGAATTGGGTGTAGTAAATTTAGGCTTTGTTCTCTTCGCATTATTTTCAATAATTTGAGGTTTATTAAGTTCAATTAAGGATTAATACTTCAGATGATAAGATAATGTAAGGGCTAATAAGATCAAATAATAGAAGATAAAATAAAACTTGATAAATGCAACGAGGGTTTATAAGTTCTAGTAAGGTCTGATAAGATCTAAAAGGTCCAATAAGATAATACTTTCTCGGTTTCTTCGTTCCCCAAACATTACAACATGGGGAAGGGATATGGAGTTTAAGAAGAGGAGAGAGATATAGGGGAATAAAGCTAGGAACCCATGTGTTGAGGAGAGAAAGAGAGAAAACATGTGCAAATAGGGAAACGTTGTAATATTTGTGAAGCTTCTTAAAATGGTAATTAATGCAATATTTGTGGAACGGAGGAAGTATAAGATGAGGGTTAATAAGTTCATTTGAGATAAGATAAATTTTACTCATGTTTTAGAATAATTGATGCATTTGATTTTTTTTTTTTCCTTCACACTATCATATATGGAGTAGACATTAATATGAAGTTTAATAATATCAATTTTTTTTTTTATTTTTATATTATTTACTAATTTATAATTATATATATTTAAGGTGTGCATTGACATGTGTGTGACGGAGGGAGTATTTTAGTATAGCTCGAAAATTTTATGTTTGGATATAAAGAGCCAACGATAGGTCTTTCATGGCAAGGAAAAAAGCTAGTCAAATTGATTGCTTCTTTTTTCTCAAGCTAACTTTTGGTTAATCTTGAATTCTACTTGTTCAAACTTTTAGAAATGAGCTTAAAGAATTTGAACTTATTGGCCCTTCTCCGAACTTGTTATAGTTGACTATTGATCCTGAACTTACTTATATCAATTATATGAACTTATTGGATTTGAACTTACCTTATATGAACTCATATATTTCTTCTGAACTCAATGGCCCAAAACTTATCTGAATTAAACTTGATTTAGATGATTAAGTAGAGGATATGTTAGTCAGGCATATGGGTTTGTCCATTGTAGTCCTAATCTAATATAAGTTACCATGAACTGTGCTGAAATTGGAAGCACTACAGCCATTGAGAATATCTCGGCTTAAACAAACAAACATTGATGAGGAGAGAATATGTGACTATATGTGAGGTTAAGTTTAGAGTTTATTGAAATTTTGTTTGTAATTATTTTGAATGCAGATGAAATTTGTTCATATATTCTGCATTGTATATTCTTTGTGTATGTTCTTTTCGGAGAATGATGCACGTCATGCTGTTGGATGCAGTATCCTCGGTGAAGTGAGGTGCTCATTCCTTTGAGGAAATTTAATTGCTAATGTTATTGTTATAACAATAAAACATGAAAAATTATTTATTGTATGATTCATCGTAGTAGCATATGAATTGTTCTTAGAAGGGTTATTAATGTTATTTACCTTTTTTTTAAGTAAATCTTAGAAGGGTAGTCTGCTTCAAGGTTCTCTAGTGATGGTAATTGTTCTTGAGCTACTCAAGAGAGTCTTAGTTTTGCTATCTATCAAGTTCAGCAATCAGAACAGCAGCTCTTTTTTTTTTTTTTTTTTTTTTTTTTTATATTTTTTTTTTATTTTTTTTATTTATTTTTATAAATTTTTTAATAATATTATTTTCATGTCTAAGTTTAATGTTCTTGAGGGCTGATCATTCCTTGTGAATTAATTGACTTTAAGTTTAAGGATAAAGGAATCCAGGGATATTTTTATATTAACAAGGTAAAGGAGCACTTTTTTTTTGTTTATGTATAAGCTTAATGGTCTTGACTCTTGAGGCCTGATCATTCCTTGAACAATTGACTTTAAGATAAGAAATCCAGGAATATTCTGAATAATTAAAAAGGCAAAGGCATACAGGATGTTAACTATGAGCCTGAATTAGGTAAGTGGTGAAAAAGTTTATACGAAGTAAATAATATCTAATTTTAATTTGTTTAGTATAATATTTTGCCTACCTAAGATTGTGGTAATGAGAATTAAATTAATGTGTATAATAGTTGGATTGGTTGAATATGAAAGCTGTGCATCACATGAGTGTCATTAGGTGCTCAAGGCGTTTTATTTATTACTTTTTGGAATAGGAGGTAGTTAAAGTATCACCTTTCCTGTAAAACTTGGGTTTCTGGTCTTTCTACTAGGTTCTTATACTTGCTTGCAGCCTTGTAAGCGTAATTTTATTCCTATGTTTGGTGGAAAATGAATTCTCTCTCACTTATCGAGCTGCTAGTTTGAGATTCTATCTTACTGGTTGTTATCCATGCACACTTTTTATCTTATCATGCAGTTCACGATATATAGAGCAATTTTATCATTTTCCCTATTAGACTTGGAATCTTTTTCACCTTAAAATATTATGTTGAACTTTTGAAGAGTATATATGATTCTTACACCCTGATATGTAGAGTATATGTGATTCCTACTCCCTGATATGTAGAGCAATTTAAAAGAATTTCCTTGTATTTTGGCGATAGATACATGATTACAGAAATTACCGCTGTGAAATGGTAGCTATTATGTGGAGAAATTACCGCTGGGTACGTGGTGAGGTAAATTTCTGTCCTGTGGTAGTATACTAGCATAATTACGGAAATAGGCTGTGAATATGTGAATCTGAGCTTCGGTTCTCTAACTGTCTACAATCTGCATATTCTATAAACTATCAGAGAATATCCTGTAATCTTCTGGGACAGAATAGGGGATGGTTTCCAAGTTTATTGCTAATTCAGATCAGCTCTTGTGCTGTGGAACATTGACAAGGCTTATGAATTTTTTAATATAGAAACAACTGCTTGCCATAGGCATTGACTTGCAGAATTTAATATATATTTTATTTATTTACTTACAGGGTTTAATATATTGTAATATTCTATTTATTTACTTGCAGGATAGGGAACTGTTTTTTATTAGATCAGTGTCTAAAATTGGAGCTTCTTCAAATTCTATCGTCATAAAAGGCACTCGTGAGGTATGATCTATATATTAATTGAATATTCATATGCAACATTGTATCATTATAATTAAAGGAAATACTTAATGCATCTCTGTCCTATAATAATGAAGACTTGTGAAAGTTCCACCAAATAAAAAATGTCTTTTTTTTTTTTTTTTTCTGGATATTGATTATGTATCAAGACCATCAATCCTCTTAGTATGAGGATGATAGTGTTGATCAGTCATAAAATTTTGTACTGGGATCCCGCTTGTGTTAATTATATTTATTGAGAAATGATGTAGTTTGAAAATTTGTGGTTTATTGATTAAATTATTTCAGAATTCACCCTATCAAAGACTGTACAGCATCTATGCCTTAAGTCCCAATATCTATGGTTGCCCAAATCCAACCTACTACTATTTTTTCTTGACAGTGCAAGCATCTCAGGATTCGGATTTGAATTAGAAAGTCTTCTTTCATCTCCCCCCCCCCCCCTCTTTTTTTTTGGGGTAACTAGACTTGTTTTCACAAATCTGTTATACTACATCAGTAATAGGTGATACATTATTTGTTTATATTCAATTTATCTTTCATTTTTTTTTCTCCAGTATTTCTTTGCAGTCATCTTTTTCTATTTTGCTCATGAATATACTGCTAGCATATGGTTCTGTTAGAGTTAATATCAGCTGTCAGCCATGAGTTAATAGTTTTGAGTATAAAAAAAGTTCGTACTACATTGATGATTGAGAAACAATTAGTAATGTGATATTCGCAGTTCCAAAAGTAAAATAGTTAACTTGTAATTGTGTGATTTCTTTGCTTGGACTGTTTAAAATACAATTTCCCTTGATCTCTGAGATGAAAAAATCGGTAATAGTTAGGCATAGTGTATATTTATCATGTACAGGAATTTCTAAATGGTTCCTTGGTTGACAGTCTTGACATGCATATTTTTCTGCATTTCAATTGACTTTTCTGGACTCTAGAAAAGCCTTCTTCTTTGGTTCACATGATGAAACATACTCAAGGAAAGTAGCAAAATCTGTGTCCTTGTAACGCCTTGGATTATTTTTGTTAATAAGTTTGGGTGAAGGTTGAATAACACGCTCGAAAGGAAGACTGTGAAGAGATGCTACAGTTACACGCGTTTTCTCTTGATTCACTAATACTCTGTGTAGCACACTCCTATACCTTCCATTGCTAAATATCTGTAACAAAATAAAATCAAAACCTGCATTTAGTTTACTGTAACATTATTGTTCCAACTTCCAACAATGCAAGTAATTATATATTTTTTGTTTTTTGGGAATTGATGGAAGAATCTACCTCTAGATGATCACCGATATTTACAACAAAAGCATTTGGGATTGGATCAACTGTCAACCATTTTTCTTCAAACTGTATTTGTAAACCCTTGACTTCATCCTGGAGAAGAAGGGTTAGGAAGCCATAGTCTGAATGTGGTGGCATCCCCAGTGTGAGTTCAGGTTCTGGGCACGGCGGATAGCAATTTGCCACCATCATCTGGCTCCCCTCTTGAAATTCTTGCAAAACTTCATTTTCTTCTGCAATATTCATTTCTGCATTCCACAGTCCAAGGCTCTCTAGGATGGCCCTCATCAGCATCATAAACAGGTTTCTAGTTTGCGTTGAGTAAGCAGCTGCGTGATCCCTATAGAAGATTTTTTTATAAGAAAATTAGGATTTCTTATTTTTATTTTAAAATATTCTTGGAGGGCAATTTGAGACCACTAATTCTACTTGTTTATTCTCAAAAAGGAAAGGCAGCCACAAAATCTATCCTCTGCTGGCTGTTCTACTGCTTAAACGAATCATTGCATAGTAAAATAATTATCAAGTGGGTAGGGTTGCATAAAAATATAAATTATATGTTACTACCTCAGGTCTTCTGGTGAAGAGGGCCAGAGTGAAAGGACATCTGGTATGGGATGGCAAACAAGCTTCAGAAAGTCTCTCCAACAGTAGTTTATGTCTTTATTCTGATTATAGCTTGTTCCATATCTGACTGGCGCTTTCATATCTGTGGACATGTATTTGAGTCGTTCGTCGAATGGGAGTTCAAAAAATCTTTTGCATACATCAGTCATACTGCTAATAGAATCTGTGGGAATGCCATGATTTACTACCTGCAGCAACATGTTAAATGGTAAGTTTTATGCTTAAATATTTATGATTAGCTTCAGATCTCAGCGTGAAAGCAATTGTGGGATGGTGCAATGTGGCGCTTAAGAGTTGCAGCTGACCAACCTGAAAGAAACCATATTGTTCACAAGCATTAGTAAGGGATTTGAGAACTTGAGACCGGTTAGGTCCTTGTAGTTCAGCAAAGTCTATGACTGGAAGTTTGATGTTTGTTTCCTGAATATGTGATTCTTTTCTCATGTTTGGACGGTCTGGGATGGGAAATATGTACTTGTTTGGAACTTTCTTGATTCCATTCTCATGGAGATGTCTCACACCTTTCTGGTATTGGTTTTCTGATTGGCTGTCTCTCATCTTCTTTTCTGATTGTAGCGAGATTGCCGGAGACATTAGTTTGAACAGATTCCTGTGACATGCATAAATAAAAGGTCAATTATATAAACATGTACGGGATAGGAGATGAGAGAAGGGGAGGATAAAATCAACGCCGTATTAAGTACTACCCGTACCTTTCTTTTATGGATGAATGAATACAATGAAGGGAAGTTTAAAAGTAATTTGTTTGAGATTTATGATAATGCAGCACTCAATTTATAGAAGTGGCTTAGCAAGGCTACGTCAAAACTACAGTTGCAAGTTTTTTAAAACCAGCGCTTTGGAAAACCAGCTTTGGTATATATTTTTATTAGCAAGGGGGTGGGGGCACCAAGTTAAGAAAAACCAGCATCGGATTATTTACTCCAAGCAAAGCAATCTTTCCTATATAGTATGACCGTTGACCAAAGTTTGGGTCAAAGAACGAGTTCGTGGGGTCCTAGGCTTTCTCCATCTTTGTACTACCAAATAATGTCAAGGCTTAATTTATTATTCCCCTTGATGTAGTTCTCACTTGAATATTTTATGAGTCATGCAACTGGCTGACTTTTGGCATAATTTATTTTTTTAAAAAAATAAATTAAATAGGGTCTAAATTAAATAGGGTCTATATCTTATGTAGGCTGTCTATTGTGTTGAAGTCCTAATCATGTCATCAAACTCTTTTAATTCAGTGTATCTTCCCGGATGCTCAAGCTAAAAAACTGATGCTTAATAATTGCTCAAGTTGTGATGTTTTATGCTGGACAGCAAAATAAAGAACAGTAGTTATGGACAAATTACAACTTTCCCTGCATTTAAATTGGTATATCATTGTTGGCGCGTGGGTGCAGTGCTAATACTGCTAACACTAAATCCAATGCCCCTGGTAGGAGTTCTTTTGCAGAAGTTTAGAGTAGTAAATTCTGAGAATATTAAAACCCATCCATTTGAACCCCTATTTGTAATTTATTTACTTCTTGACATATCCTTTATATCATAAGTTACCTAGTCGTACTTTAAAGCATGCTTGTCATATTTCTGGTTTTGTTGGGTGATAGTAAATTTTCCACAACTGCATTGCAGGCAATATTCATCAGAATTTATTGGCACTCAGCAACTGGGGTTTTCCAGCCCGCAGCGTGGGTAGAGAAAGTATGTAATTAGTATAATCTTTCCCCTAACCTTTGTTCAATTACAACATCTATGGCCATGCATCAATCAACTGAAAGTTTATCATGAATGTTGTTTGACAATGTCAGAATATTTGGGATTATTTGCAACTTGCACTTGTATTGACTTCTGCCTATTAAATCAGTTGACTGGTATTGTTGGTGTTATGTTTATAACATTCTGCATATTAAGTTTATGACCATATTGAGGAAACCAATTAACCAATACTCTTTTTACTAATTAAACTATATGTGGTGACTCTAGAGAATTTGATTATCTTTTAGCTATTGCAAAAGGCATTTACAGATTTAGGTGACATTACATAGCTTTTTTTTGACATTACATAGATGATTGGCTAGGAAGAGACAAAACCCAAAAAAAAGAAGATAAATGTTCGGAAGATAAGGAGTGGCTCTAAAAAACGTGCAATAATGAGATTTGGCTAAGGTTGCAATGTGGCTCTAATATCATTATGTGGGACCAGAATTTGAAAGTACTATTCTTTGTCCTATGGAAGACACTGGTCCATTTTGCTTTCTAATTTTGGTGCACCTTTTTGTTTTTACCTTTTTTTTTTTGGTTCTGCCGGATTGATCTGTTCAATGTTACTAGTATTTACTTTCTATGTGGTTGTGAAAATCTTGATACTGGGTGCTTCTGCCAGTTGCTGTATGTGAAAGGGGAATTAAAAAGATGCATTGTTGATAAAATAAGTGATTCCTTATTCTCTATCAGTTGGCTTGATCCGTTGTATAAGTTGTGAAACTTACATAGGGTAATTTGAAGTTGGGAAAATAAGTTAGTTGTTTATCTTTGCTTTAATTAAAATTTTCAAATGCTTATTACTGTGTGTTTTTTTTTTCTAATTTCACTCGCTTTTACTTTATTCCATTTATAACAACCTTTTTTTCTTTTTCCTTTTTAAAAAAATAATTATCATCTCTTAACCCACCTTATAGGACTATCATTTTGAAGAATTTCTTACTCTCGTATCTCTCTCCTCCTAAAAGTGAAAGTAACCATAAGTTTCGTATTTTCTATCAATTTTATGTAATGGAGATTTACCTTATATCTTTTTTGTTAGAGGTAAAGAATATGATTTCTTATGTGATTTTGCAAGAACATTCTTGGTCCAGTGTCCATGGTAATGCTTACTCGTTCTCAAGATCTCTCTCTTTCTAATAATTTATTTCCATACCCCTCCTCTTTTGAGGTGGTATTAAGTGAATGAAAAATTAGGAAAAAAACACATATTTAGGGATTAAGTTGTTTTACACAGATAATAGAAAGGAATTAATCTTATTTCAAAATTAGATAGTAAATTATTACTACCTCCGGTTTGTATTATATGTAACTTTGGAATTTTTTTTATCTCACAAATATTACACCAAAGTTGCATATAATACGTACTGGAGGTAGTACTATTATTTTTCTTTTGATATCACCTATTTTATGAGTCATTACAATAACTAACACACAATTAGCTTTTGATTTTTAGAAGGCAATGAATAACCTTAAGGTATGGATATTCTTGTATGACCCTTGTATTTGGAAGTATGGATGAAATATCATATTTGATCATGGAGGCATATGGTTGGAGTCTGACAGATTGCAAAAAAATTATATCTTGATCACCCACTCTCCCCTCATCTCCTTTCTTGTGGATACTCCGTTCTTATTGTCATTTTCTATATATTAAGCCTCTTTTATTATCATTTCTTTTGTTTCTTCTGTTATATTGGAACAATCCCCTCTAAACCCCGATAAAGGAAAGAAAATATCCCCCGTGCCCAACTACGGTGTCAAAAATAGCCATATAGGGATGTGCATAAGATTGAACATTTTGGTTATAAAAAAAAAAGGCTTAGCATTGATATTTATTTTATACTTTTCTTACCAAACTAATACTAGTGATTATTGGAATTTGAGGATTGTTTGAAATAGTGTATTGACAGGCAAGTGCTTTGGTTTTTGCCTTTTTGGAGATGATATGTGAACTATCTTTTCATTTCATCTCAGAGTCTTAATTTCGACACGAAATGGGTATGGACTCTTCAATACCTAATAAAGAATTTTGTTCTCGTCAAAAAAAAAAAAAAAAAAAAAGAAGAATTTTGTCAATTTTTACACAATTTTTTTTTTTTTTTTTAAAATTTTTTTCACTATTATTTATCTTTCTCTCTTTGATATACCAAACTGCCTGACTGCTACCAACTGCTACAGTGCTACCTCAATGCCTCTAAATAGGCTGCTGCCTATGGCAGCACGGGATACATGGAGCTTCGTGCTTACAATTGGACCACTAGGGGCCTTTTTTCTAAAAAGAGCCAGTGATTTGATTGATACTTATGAAAATTTTAATCATCTTCATTGTCATTTTCTTTGTTGTGTTAAATGTTCATGTGTTGATTCTGCTCTTGGTATTATGCAAGTATGTGATTGCAAGTGGTAGGAAGTTTCTACAAAGTTAGTGTATCTAAAGTGAGGAATCAACACTTCCTTTTAAAAGGTACTCTTGGTCTGGTATTAACAATCTCATTGTCCCAACCCTTCATGATTTAGAAACCACCATAATTTCACCAAAACACCCTTTATAATAGTTTTCTTCTTTCTAAACTCTTTCATTACATTTTAATTATGGCTATGTTTCCTTATAATCTGTTTATGTTTTAAGGAATGTGACACCTTTTATTGACAATTTTACAGAGTAGATGTGACATTATTTTCGGACGGAGGGAATAATATGAAAATATATAATCAATGTCATAATTAGTCACGTTTAGTAGGTCCTGGCGGGGTATTAAACATCGGCTTATCTGGTGCATCACAGCTGTTGGCCTAAAAAGTTAATTTAGGCTGATGGTGATATGGTTTTTTTTTTTTATAATAGTGCATGGCATCATGTTCAGTGACAGTCCAAGAGTTTTGGTAGATTCAAGTACTATTTAATTGGCCTTTCCTACGTGGATAAAGTGATGCTCTCTCTTCATGGTTGTCCTTAATGTACGTTTTACAACCAGGAGCTCCTGACTTGGTTTTTGATTCTATTTCTAATAATTAAGATGCTCTACAGCATCTCATTTGTTTATGTTATTTGTTTTTGGTAGTTTCCTTGTAAGGTAAGTACCCTTTTCTCTGGTTAGTGTGCCTTTAAAATAATAGTTTGAGACACAAGTGACATTTGACTCTTTTGAAGGTATGTGAACTTTTGAAGCTAAGGGTATAAGCTGGAACTAAGCTAACACTTGAGTTGATTAATTATAGAACTATCTGATTTGGACACATGGTTTAATGACTCTTTATTTCCCATCCTCATGCTTGCTTTTCCGGTGATCTGTCTCTGACAACCTTTATGCTCACTGGTTAATGGTTGAGGCCAGAATGGTGTTGTACAAATATAGCTATTACTTCACCTTTGTCATTTATGAATTGTAAACCACTCTAATCCTTTGCTAAGTCCTTCCTTGTTTGCCTTGCTGTACTTATTCAAACATGTGTTCTGACACCTTAACTGACTTAGAATTTGTCTTTGAAGCAAATGGAACTAATTGGAAAGTTAAACGAGTCCGTGTTGGAAAGTTTCAAGTTTCAACAAAGTCCAATGCTTCTACGAGTTTTTACTAATCAATATTTTCATAGTGTTTTAAAGTTCCTTTTGTTTTTTTTTTTTTGTTATAATTTTTGTTATCTTGTTTATTTTGTGGAAAATTCTTTTTTTTTTTGCCTTATTGTTTAGCTTTTTGGCCCTTATTCAAACTTATCTATATATCAACCTATTGAACCTTTTCTTTTTAATTATTTTGGTAGGAAAGTTTTGGATCTCAAATGCGGCCATCTTAGCCTTGTACGCCGCAGAAATATAATACCCCCTGTGAGTCCTTGGTAGCTCATCTCCATTTATCTTAACTAATATTTATGTTTAATGTACAGTATCTCTATGCTTCATAGTCTGTTTCGCTCTCATTAAAATTTGAAATTGAGTTACAATAGTTTATGAAGATGAATGGTTTAGTTAACATTTATGGTCCAAACAATTTTTATGTAAAGTTAACGTCTCATGCTAGTGCTCGTTACCTGTGAACATGTGATGCCCATGTCTTTTGCACAATACACATTGATTAGAAGTTAAAATTGCAAGAATTCTGTTATTGAAGATCTGGCATGTCTTATAAACAACTTATCTATATATGGTTTTTGATATAATTTAGAATAAATAGAGCTATGCTAATGCTCCCAACTTAGGAAAACAACCCGTTTGATTGGTGGTAATAAATCAAGTTGATAAATGTCATTGTTAATGGTAATGCAAAAGCAAGTTTTTTTCCTTATAAATATCATTACCGCTTAATACCACCTTCTTCTTTTACTGGTATATGATGGCAGTGAAAATTATAGAAAAATAGATATTTGATGAGTACAAGCATTATCGTAAACATTTACATGTGATTTTCTGATGGAAAGAGCTCTAATTTTTCTGGAGCATACACTGCTCAACTACAAAAAGGAGGGGGGGGGGGGGGCATGATTCTACGAGTGCCTTGACACCTTCAAATGTTCAATGAAGGAAGACTTTCCAGAACACTTTCCTGGAAATGTTGCTTCAAGATGCACAAAAGTTATTTGATAGACAAAGTCCTTTTATTAAGTCAATCAAACCACCTCTAAAAAGTCAATCCTTACTGCTAGCAGCGACAGCTTCATTGAAGGCTGTAGTTATCAGCTCATCTGAAAGTCTTAATAGAAAAGCTCGTGTTTTAATTACTTTGTCCTTTTATCCACATTTGGTGCATTATTTTCTGCCACATCACTACCGGGTATTTTATTCAGAGCTACATTATTTTTCATTTATTTTAATAAACCTTTTTTGTCCACATGCAATTGCGTTGTTTTTTATGAGTTGGAAAGTTCATTTTCCTTTTTTCTTATTTCTTAAATTTTTTTTATTTTTTTTATTATTATTTTTTTATAATCCATTATCATTTTTTGTGTGTAAAATGTCGTTTCACATAATTGTTTTGTTCACAAATAAGTGTCATTTTACTCTTTGACCTTTAAATACGCCTATCCTTATATGGGACAATAGCTAATATTAATCAATTTAATTTTCTCTATGTTTATATGTAATAATTAGATATACCAATTCATGTGAGCTCAGTAAAAAGTTATTACCTTACTTAGTGTGTGTGTGTGTGTGTATATATATATATATATATATATATATATATATATATACTTTAATCTGAATATATTTTTAAACAATTGGTTTGGACTTCTAGCTTTCAAACAAAAATAAGTAATGAGAGTAATGACTTATGAGTATGTCTATTTCCTTCTGTAGGAAATAATACTCCTATTGCTGAGTGTGTATGCTTGTCCTTTTGTTAAGCTGCCATACCCAATGCCCTTGATATTGTTATTTATTTGCATGGGACTTCTGACTTTTAGAATTTCAATACTTAAAGGAGATAAATGTATTTGTATCAGGCGTTTACTTTCTGTTTTATTAATTTTTGGTATACAGGCGTTTACTTTCTGTTTTAATAATTTTTGGGATACATGCGTTTACTTTGTTTATACATAGGCATTGTATATTTATTAATTAAAATGTCAATGGTACCATATGTCTTAGTTTACCTATTCAATAATTGTTGTATAATAGAATTATGCTTACAGGTGATGCTGCTACTACTTTGGTTCTAGGTTGCATTTGGCCAAATTTAGCTAATGAATAATTGGCACGTGGCACGACTAAGTCCTGTTTTTGATAGATGGGAGCTTTACTTGAAAGAAGAAATTTGGTGCTGAATAGGAATACGTTAGAAGACAGGGAATTATATGTCAATGCTGAGAGAGAGGTAGCATCATTATGTTTATATTTATTTTTTCCATTATGAGGCTGCATTTTCTTGCTTGACCATTACATTATTGCTTAATTTTGTCTGTGTTTTATTTAACGGTATACAGATGAATCCACCCTATCTTATTTTATTTGTAAGTTTCACCTAATTTGTGGTACATGGAATGGGTATGGGAACAAAAGATACATAGTCTTGACAAATTAGTCCAAAAATATTTCATTGTCCCAATTTATACGTATTTGGTTGATCAGATCATAGTTTGGAGGTGGTATTAGGGGATACTGTACTTTACACTGATGCTTTGGCGGTCCCTAAATCGTGCTTGTTGGTTGCTTACGTATGTTGAATCTTAGGCGTGGTTAGATTGGATTTTGAAGGTTGTATGAGGATAGTGTGTGAGGTGTGAGCATCTTACTGAGAATCAACTAATCGTCTTTGTTTGGTTTTTGACAATCAATAGTTCTGATACCTTATTCAAGTAAAAACTATCATTAGCACTTAAAAGTGAGCAAGAATGCTATCATTTGGTCTGGCTCTAGTGCTAATTCAACATTCATTTCTGTAAGTTGTTGCCTTATTGTATGCAACTTGATGTCTTGCTTGACACTCAACTCAAAATGTGACTTTTGTTTGTTAGACACATTCAAGGTTTTAGATCTTCTAACTGTAGAAACTATTAGTTGACAGCAGTAAAAAGTTGAGTGTCTTATATATAGATTTATCCTTGCACTAAACACCATGGTTGATCAGAATGGAGGTAAGTCAGGTGTCCTCTTGCATAGTTAGAACTTAAAAGTTAAGCCCCCTGCCCCAACCACCACCAAATATCCGTGAAGACATGTGAACTCTTATGATATACTCGAAGTCAGGTCTTATTTTTGGGACACCAAACAGAGATTTTGAGCGTATCAGAGCTATGGTGTTTGAGATAAACGCCTCTAATTTGGGCAAAATCTGTGTTGACAACACTTAGTTTGCACTTTCAACACCAATTAGCTAGATACGCCACACTCTCTAATCGCCAAAATTTCTGACTATGACACATGCCCTTAAAGTTTTCCTTCTCTCTCCTTTCCTTGCAGCTCAATACATTGTAATGTTTTTTTGTTGATGTTTACTTTTGCTGTTCTTTGAGAAAAGAGGTGGCGGGGGGGGGGGGGGGGGGGGGCGTAAACTTTACGTTAATGCAATTGAGGGGAGAATTTGTCATAAAATCAGGCCCTGCTCTCAATCTCCTCTAGTACCAAGATTGGATCAACTTAAAATTTTGGTTTTTGAGGATTCTTATATGTAACCTCAATATCTGTCTGATTTGACTTCATGTTATTCTCTCTAATTTTATTAGAAAAATATGGGATAGACCCATTCACCTTTTTATCTAGTTAGCCCTATGAAAGTTGTGCATTCTTTATGTTTAACATGAATACCTATATGAACCCAAAAATAATAAAATTCAGCCTGTTTTTAAGGGGAGCTATACTTTGGCATGTTTGTTCCTCCTAAGGGCTATGGGGACCTTTGCAGCTTGATGGGTTGCGCCACTCAACTGTGACAATGTGCTCTTAACTGTTTTTATGATGTAGGAAAGCTCATACCTTAATCATCATATATTTTAGCTAATTATATTTGTTTCTATTTCTCAATTCTCCTTTACATTCTAAGGACATATTACTTTGAGACTATGACTGAATTTTAGCAGCTACTGTGTTATTTTCTCCTTTTAAGGTATTGCACCAGATTTGGATCCTTGCTTATAGATATCCTTGATATGCTTCTACCCATTAAATTTAATTTTCCCTTAATGTGGTGTTTGTATAGTTAGCTTAATTGATTCCATGGCTCTACTGGCAAATATACTGTGTGTTTGCTAGTATCTGCCTCCCATATGTTCTATCTACATAAGGAGCTTTTAGGGTTAGATGATTGAGTCATTGTGTGCTGCAGCCATGTTGTGTGTTGATGGGTTGACGGTTGATTGTGAGAGCTTCGATTGAGCTAGTTTTAAAGTATTAGAAACAGAACCTTATGAATCATATAAATTCTGGTTCCAAGCCCAGCACTGCTTACAATAAAATCTAGAATTTTCAAATTTTTGAATCTATGCTCTGTTCCTGTGCCGTTTACACATATTTCCATTATCATATTGGTCATCTAGTGGCAGAGCCGCTTGTAACGCTTTGACCATTGCATATTATGAAAGTTTCAGCATTACTGCAATCAGTAGATTACCCTTTCTTAAAATATTGAGTATTTATGTTAAAAACAGGCTTGGGCCGCACCTGTCACCAAGAGAGAGAGTCCACTTTACATGTCCTAGGAGGTTCCATCCCAAAACCATATTGCAATAGGAGTAGCAGCCCCTTAGCTCTATAAAGTGTTTAATTCTCATCTTTTTACTTCATGTTTAGTGGCGAGTGCTACACTTCTACACTTGCCATTTACTTACAACAATTATAATGTACCTAATACCTATAGTACTAAATAGTACTCTGCAATTTTTTTTCCGTTGTTTAGATGATGAATATCAGTCTATGGTTACTTTATATTGGCCTGGGGCTTTCTTATTTAGTGGCTTACATGATTGTGTACTGCTAGTTTCTTTCAGTACTAGTTTTATCCAGTTAGCATGTGTTCCTGTTTTAAACATCAACATTACCTCAATATGCTTATAGAGAGGCTCTGGTCTATGGCAGGGACCCTGTGATGAGTGAGAGACTCCTTTAATTGATCTCATGTAGGTAGCTTACCCTGCCACAGGGTAGATGGGTCAGGCGTATGCTATGATGAGTGAGCGACTCCTTTAGTTGATCTTTAACTTGGATGCAGATTACGTCTGCAACTTTGCAGTAAGAAAGAAGTGCTAACTCTTTAATGCCTTTTTGCTTAGTCCAATATAATCTGAAGCCAAGCAATATTGGATGAGGGTTTTAGAAATTAGTTAGTATGTTCAGAACTGTAATTTCTTTTAATAAATCAATTGCTGAACTCTCCTCCAATTTCCAAGTAATTGTATCCATACATTTTAGGCATTGGCCATAATTGTTGTTATACATGTTGATGATCTACCATGCAATTCATTTTTATCTTTGGCATTCTGCAGGTTGTGGCAAATATTGCAGTGGACAAACTGTGAAGTTCACAAGCTAATGGCATTAAGGTA